CTCAGGGAACAGTTGAAGTTGAATATGTAGAGATAAACAAGAGTGAGGCTGACTGGCATGGTGCGCAGGAGATGCCCTCACAGGCTGTAAGTTAGTGCTTGGCAGAAAGGCAAGAGACAAAGGCAAGAATCCCAGTTGCCTCAGTAATGATAACTTTTTAATAGAGAGTCCATTGTTTACCAGGAAAGTCATAGGTTTTCCCCTGACTTTTGCAATGATTATGGGCTCTCAGCAGATCAAGTTGATAGAGCTTGGGCTGTCCTATCTATTCAGATCTAACAGATGCAACTCATTTGTAAAAGCTGACAGTCCAATTTTCTCAATTAAAATGTATAACTCAGAAGAAATCACCAACAGTCCTCTCAGGTGAGCATTAGATGACATCATCTCACCAGGAGAGGCATGTCTCTTTGGTGGAGATCAGTGGACTTCTGTATCCAAATGCAGGCAATAGACTGGAACTGGGTCAATTGGTTGACAGTAGATGAGTTGGGTCAGGGAGTGAAGCTATAGGTGTTGGCTGTAACTGCAACAGCAGATAAGGTTGTCAAGGCATAATTTTTAAGAATAATAAGCCTCTTTTTCTTTCTTTGAGATGGAGTAGGTGGTTTGATTTTATTTTTAACTCTGTAAAAGCCAATTTTTACTATCATTGGGAATTGTGGGTTTTAACTAATTATTTCTCATTCTATTTCCCTATGATGTGTGGTGCAACTGACAAAGGATGGGTACTCCTCAGAGGGAAACCATTCAGATGCCTACCTGGCTGCAACCCTCAAGGGACTTAGTCACAACATAGCTATGGAGGGTGCAAGGTCTCTGTTACACCATATGTCAGTCATCACAGAACTGTAGGTGAGGGCTCAATCAACCACCATTAACCCAGTGCTTCCATTTCTTGGTGCACAGAGGGAGCAATCTATTGTTTATGCTATCTATTCTACTCACTCACACATTCATTCAGCAGGCACTCAGAGGTTAAACATCCCAATCTCCTTTCCCTTAAGGCTGACCTTAACTAACAAGAGGTGATCAAGATCTTCTGATCAAACCAAGCAGGAATAACAACTGGAGGCCTTCCTGGCATCAGGCAGGCAGGCAGGCAGGCAGACAGACAGACATCAGACTGCATCCTCCTCCCTTTAGGATCTGATGTGAGCTGCTTAAGCAGGGATCCAGGAATACTCCTTAGGACCTCCTAGGGAACTTGAGAAATCACAAGGACAAGCTTCCTGTCAGTACTTGAAGAGGTCCTTGCTCCATCCACAAGGGCCATGACTGGTGACCAAAGAGGTCAGAACAGTTAGTTTTCCCAGATGATGAACCAGATATAAAAACAAGCAGAAATACCAAAATGACAACCAGAATTTGGAGGTAGATTTATTTACATGGAGGCAGATTTACTTAATGATTGGGATCATTCCCAGAATATCAGGCCATGATGTCTAGTGGTGTGGGGCTTATGTTAGATAAGCAAGCAGGAAGTACAGAGATAGATTGGCTTGTCCACTGGGGATTGGTTTATATGGTAAGTAATAGTGACCAGCTATGCATCACAGTGACCAGTCATTTCTAAGAGATGAAAGCAACTAGACCGATTACTTGGGAAACTAAGAAATTGAAGTATACAGGCTAGGGCAGGGGAGTATTTTCTGTTATACTATAAATGTGCTCTCATTGCTCTTTTCTGATATTCAGAGTCATAATATGGAATTCACTAGTGCAGATCAGGCAACTTGAAAGTGGCGGCTGACTACATTTAGGGGTTTACAACCCTCCCCAGATTGTGTGGCAGTGTGCCTTAGAGACCAATTTAGTTCCATTTTAAACTAAGCATATGTTGACTAAATTAGGAAGGGCTATAGGAGACTTCATAAAAATAGGATGGGGAAATTGAATTCTTAGCAATATTTCTTTTATCCTCTCTCATCACAGGCATAAAACTACAGAAACAAAATTTCAAAGCCCAGAGAGAATTAAACTGTTGGATTAGAGATTTCCTAATGAAGCAAAAGTACTATATGTTGCAAAGAATCGAAATCAATTTTCTGCATATAAGGAAAAATTTTGAAATAGCCTATTTACAAGTCTCCTCAGATTTCATAATTTCTATTTACTTCAGTAACAATAGATTACTTTGCCCCAGTAAGCATTTTTTTTAATCTAAATCATTCAGCAGTCAGAATCAACTTTTTTTATCTGATTTCACAAGCATAATCATAATACCTCTGGATAAAATGCAAAAATAAACCACAATTTTTAGAAAGTAATATACGTTTCTCTCAAATTTTTACTCGGAAAATACCTAAATTTATTTGTACTTAACTAACTTACACTTTTCCAATTAAATATAGAGCAGCTGCTCAGCTAAAACTATGTTACTAAAAAAGAAAAATTAGTAATAAATTCATAGGAAATTGAATTATTGTCATTCAAAACTAATTTTTACATGATGATTTTAATAAGCTAAGAAAACATAATGAGATAATTTAAAAATAACTAGTGATGACTAACATGCCATATTAAGATATTTGATTGTGTGTATGGAACTAGTGCTTTTAACTTTTAAAAATAAATAAATGTCAAAATGTTAAATTTAGAATATATGTATTTAGACATTTGTATCTTGTTTTAAACTTTCCAGGTTTCTAAAGAAAGATTACTTCTGGAAGGATAAAATATGTCTTTCTGTACGAATATTGACTGCCGATAGAGCATGAAATTGTCTTTGCCCATTTGCCATCTCAGTAATCTAGTTAAAAACTGTGTTATGAAACAAATTGATAATTATATTTACAAAAACCTCACTAACATTATTATATTTTGAGATATGTAATCTACTTTTCTATAAAAGTTTGTAGAAACAACCAACCATGTCTTCCTAAAACTATTTTATTAAGGTAAATTAGATTTGAGTTGAAACAATATAGATTTTTCCAAATTTAAAATAGACAAATAGCTCTATTTATTGTTGTAAGATAACAATAGTAAAGAATTAGCTATATTTTCTTGCTTATTTGTTCATGTGGTAGGAAAAGTAGTACACTTTATACATGGAGTAAGCATGTTAAAGTATCAGTCAAAATAAGCATTTTTAAATGTTACTGTTTTGCTATTAATATCATCTAGTGAGCACTTACTATATGAGTATTGGTAGGTTAACATACATATTTTAAATTACTCTCATGATATAGGTAAGACAAGAGGAGCATTTATTCTCATTTGACAGTTAAGGAAACTGAGACTCAAAAACTTAACTTATTGAACCAAAGCAAAAAAAAAAAAAATAGAAACTGACTAAAAACCTGTACTAATATCATATGATTTCAGAGCCTATATTTTAAACACTATTGAAATTTAAACACGTAAATTGTGTCTTATAATTCACATCATCTATTTCCTTTTCAAAACCCTATTAGTGTCAACCAATTGCTTTAAATTTGACAATGAATTTTTGAAATCACGCTTTTTAAAAAGTATTTTATATAAGGTCAGCTGTTATTCCTATTCATGTTCCTTTTTGCAGCATTTTAATTACTCAAAATAAATTAATTTAGTTAATTTTAACAAATACATGCTGGTTTCCTATTCTGCACCATTTTGTCAGGCTCCAGGGATACAAAGATGGGAAACTTTGACAAGTTGGAACATACACCTGGTGCAATCCTCTTGGTAATCCTCTTGCCTCAGCCTGCAAGCGCTGGAATTACAGATGTGCACCACCATGCCTGGCTTTTTTTTTTTTCTAATAGCTAGAAATAGGAAATCAAGGTTGCTAGTCACTGGATCAGTTTTGAGTATTCCTTGTTTTGTAAGTGTAATACAGTAACCTTTAATACTTCTCTTTAGAGGAAAATAAAATGTAACACTTCAGAGAAGAGTAGAAATAATTTCTTTCAAGTACTGTAACATTTTGTCATCATTAATAAATTATGGAGATTACTGAATTTTTCTAATATCCTTATAACTTGCATTGTGATGCCTCACCTTGATATCAACAAAGCAGGTTTTCTCTGTTCCTTATATATGTTAAATTCTTCTTCTCCTTTATTGTGCAAGATAGAGGGTAGGATTAAGACTTTCCATAATCAATACCATAACTATTCTCAGGGCATCCAAATCTCACATGATATTCAGCACAATTCGTAGTATCTCTCATAAGATATGATGGGAAAACACCTCGATGGAAGCAAAATCCTCTCTTCAGCAATATGAGGGTAATCGCATGGCAAAATACTTTTAAGACCAAACAGCCCCAGCAAACAGTGAATCTATTTCCTCTAATCCATGACTATTTCTAGTTGGCCAGTTTTTGTGCAACTCACCTTTTGTAAACAGCCATCGACTCCTTCCAGATCTACCCAGAGCCTTCTTTGTCCAACTTTTTCATTTTCCTTCTATTTTCCAGTGAGGTAAGCACATTGCTACTCTGTCCAACACTGCTTTATTTGTTTGGAGCTCCGTCTTCAACTTTCTTTCACATTTCTGGCATTATGAATTTTATATTTATTTATTTATGACTTCCCTTTTCCATTTGACCATGATTTAATTGAGCCCACTGTTTCCAGCCCAGTCTAACTCTGTTTCTACCAAATGAAAATATCCACATTTCAATATAATAAGCATCTGGAGGTGTCATGGGGATAGTGATGCTTGTGTAACCTTCCAGTGGTTGCCATTAGTATGTTGTTTTAGAGTAACTTGAAGAGATTATGAGGATATGTGTGTTCCAAGCGTTTCAGCCACTTCTAGGAACATCCCCAAACACCTAAGCAGATACCTAAGGTTTCTTCTAACCTTAAAGCCACATGTCTAGCTTTGCCACTATTTCTGTGAATTCTGAGTAACATAGTATATTGTGTACTCAGTATTAAAACTTACTCCACTATGTGCTCTGGCTAAGTGAAAATGTTTAAAAAAAAACCTAAGTGGAAAGTGTGCCTTATGATCACTCATTTATACTATTTATCTTATACAAGAAACATTCTTTCCCCCCATAGAGCCCTGCAAGGAAGGTGAGTTTCAGTGTAAAAATGGAGAGTGTATTCCACTGGAGAATCTGTGTGACAGCCACCCACACTGCCAGGATGGTTCAGATGAAGCACAATGTGGTATGTCTTATTTTAAAAAAAAATTTTGCCTTACTTTAGCCTCTACTGTTGGATTCAGTGTGAAATGAAGATTATTTGTGTGTTTCTAATACATATTTTGGTATTTTAAATGTGAGCAACTCAGTGAATTCAGGAATTTTGCACCATTCTGCTTAGAAGAAAAATTAACAGTCAGACTCTGAGTGCTGTTTGTGTGTTTAAAATTGGCTACATTTAATAAGTGTAAGTCTAAGGCAACCAATATTCATAAAGTAAACTTAAACCACCACAGAGGAAAATAGCTCAGATCAAGTACAGTGGCACCAGTCATCTTACTATTGTGTTCTGAGGCAGAGCTACCTGCATGCTTATTTATAACTGTCTTCTTTAAACCTGGTACTTTCATTCTTGGTTTTTCAAAAATTTTTATTTCTCTTGCCTTGCTGAGTTTCAGGCCACACTTCCTGTCTAATTCCTATAACAATATGAGACATATACTATTTCATTATGTTTTATTTTTACTTCTAAGAAAGTATCAAAAAATGTTCAACATCATTGGTCATTCGAAAGATGCAAATTAAAATAACATTGAGATTCCATCACACTCCTAAAGAATGACTATCACCAAAAATATCAGCTGATAACAGATGATGGCAGGGATGTGGGGAAAAAAGGAACTCTTCTCTACTGTTGGTAAGAGTGTAGACTGGTACAATCACTCTGAAAATCGGTGTGGACATTCCTCAAAAAAGTAAGATTACAGGTCCCATTCACCCAGCTATTCTCCTTCCAGGTATCTTAACAGAAGAATTAAAAACATCACCACACACAGTGATATATGTGCACTCATGTTTATAGCAGCACAATTGTAATAGCTAAACCTTTGAAAACCCCCAAATGCCCATCAACTGAATGCATAAAAAGACACAGTTTTTTATATATTATGGAATACTACTCAGTCATAAGGAACGATAAACAAGACCTTTTATGGGTAAATGGATGTAACTCGAGACAATATTCATAAGTGAAATAAATCAGACCTACATGTGTAAACATTGTATTGTCTCTTGTGTGAGAGTAAATAAAATCTGAACTGTACAATAAGTATTGTGAATAGGGAAGAAACTGTTCAAAAGAAAAAACCTGTGATGAAAGAAAGGAAGGGAATCTTAGTTCATTGAAAAGAAAGTTTTGTACTAACACTTTTTTGGACAATATTTTATTCCTAGGTCTTGTACTCTGAATAACTACTAATAATATAACAATACACAATATATTAATTATTTCACTCTCCTACTAACCTGCTTTGAAATTCTGCTTTATTGCTATCTTCACTTTTTCTGTTTCAAGTTTTTTTAAAAAAGAAAACGTCCAGTCCTTATATATGGTATGTGTCATGCACTGTAACTAAGGGATATAAAACAATTCCATAACAGAAGTAGCTGTACTTTAGTCATGAAGAAATTGCATTTTGGGGAAGTTAAATGGCTTCCAAACATCATACACGTAGAAAGAGCAAAAACTGTATTTTGAAACTATGGCTTTCTAATTCTAACCAATGACCTAAATCTTTTCACAACATGTTAAAATGTAAACAATAATTATGGTATGCTGTTTGCTGTTAGCTAGATTACTATTGCTGATATTTTCCATGTTTGATAATCTACCTTATTTTGCTACATGCTCTACCTAGAGAAAGTAGCCTTAATATTCTGTCCCAAATGTTGGTAAGATAGTGGGAAATCAAACAACAAAAAGAAAGAATATCTGAAGAAATAAGTAGGAGTACATGCTTAAAGTTTGTTTTTCTGAATTTGTTTTCTTTAATTAAATTTTCTTCCTCTAGAAGTCCGTTTATATGTTATATTCTTTACAGATAACTTTATTTTCTGTTTATTTGCTGTGCTGATATGCAATAAATTGTCCTGTCTTTTATGTTATCACAATTACATGAAACACCAAAATTAAATCTACTCAGTTTGCTTTTCAACTTATGGCCTCTAACATAAAACAAAACTATGGTCACTATATGCTAAATGTTAAGCACATTGCACGTGATGTTTAAAGACTGTCGCTCATATCATCTTAGCTCAAAATGCTCTAGGTGTGATCTACTGTCTTTAATGCAGTTACTACTTAAATTTTATTCAAACTTAAATAAATTTTAAAATGTAACTTTAAATTTAAAATTATAGTTACATACATGAATGGAATAGAAATCGATGGTATGATATACATGTACAATGTGGAATGATTAAACCTGTTCATAAAACCAAATATTTATCAGTTTGTTTTGGAATTTATTTTCTTAGCACATTTGAAACACACAATAATTTAATATTAGCATTAACTATTTACACCATGTTGTGCAATAAACCTTGCACGTTTTATTCCTTTGATCTAAGTGAAAATGTCGTGCCCTTTGACTAAGTTCACATTCTCCTAACTCCCCAGTCTGGTAACCGCTCTTCTCCTCTCTGAATCTTTAGTGCGTCTTCTCAATGGCACCACAACCAACAGTGGACTGGTGCAGTTCCGAATTCAGAGCATTTGGTATGTGGCCTGTGCTGAGAACTGGACCACCCAGATTTCAAATGAAGTTTGTCAGTTGCTGGGTTTAGGGTAAGTAATTCTACTCAACTTTCTTTTAAGAAATTTTCTTTTTTTTTTTTTTTGCATTTTTGTTTTTATTACTACCTGTTTGCACTGTGTAATGACTACATTCCTCATAGGAAGTTGGAACTTGTACATACTACATCTTAAATCTTTACACATTCCCTTTCCCCTCCTACCTCCCTCCTTGCTCCATCTCTTGGTTTCCTTCCCATTTCCAAAAGAAATTCTCTTTTATATGATGTCAAATTGGAGTGGATTTACTTAAAATACGTAAGTTACAGATTTAGAAAGTACAGATGAGCAAATGAAAGAAAATACAGTAATGATTAAATTTATCCTCAAATAACTCCTGTTAATTTTCTTTTAATAAATACTATTGTTATAGTTTATGCATAGATGTCCCCCAAAGTCTCATGTGCTCTTAGGGGATTCTGGGGAGGTGACTGGATCATGGGGTCTAGATTCTCATCAGTGTATTAGTCCACCAATAAGTTTGTAGCTAAATGTGACTTTGGGAGGTAAAGCTTGGTTTGAGGAGGTGAGTCGCTGAGAGCAAGACCTTGAAGAGTACCTGTCCCTCCTCTCCTTTGATCCTTCTCTGCCTCTTGACACCATACCATGAGCTCTGTCTTCTCTGTGATGCCCTTCTGCCGTGTGCCACCCTGTCTAGGAACCAGTTGCGTATGAACTGATACCTCTACAAATTGTGGGCTGAAATAAACCTTTCCACTTTTAACTTTGAGTATTGGATATTTTCTCTCAGTAACCTCAAGAGTAACTAAGACGATATATAAATTTACCACACTCATTTTTTCTCAGTAGTCTCAAGAGCAACCATAGGAGAAATAGAAAGTAATTACTTCTTTTATATTGTACAGTGTTTCAACTCCAACAGAGTCTTCTGATTCTTGATTTTGAGGGTGTACAGATTTACAGTCATATTGACTCATATCTAGTTACTTTTATCACTTACAGTACTATATCCCCAGTCGGTTTATTATATTAAACTATGAGGTCTATAAAGATAATGACAATATTGTGTTAGCTTTCCATCACTGTAGGAGAGAACTAGCTTATAAAGAAATAAGGTTAATTTTGACTTACAGTTTTGGAGGTCCCTGTCCATGATTGATTGATCCCATATCTGTAGGCCTGTGGAGAGACAGAAAATCATTGCAGAAGTGTGTAAGGTAGCAAAATTGCTCACCTTATGATATGAAAGCAAAAAGGGACAAAGGCAATGTGATGGGGTCCTACTATTCCTATCTAGAGGGTACCCCCACATTAGGGTCGAGCCACCAATACATGACACTTAGGGGTATTTAAGATACAATTGAAGCTCCTAATTTATACATTATTTTCATATCTAATCTAAGCCCAGTCTCAAAAATGGATACAAAATAAATATTTACTGAAACAATAGACTGTTCATTATGCATACTTTTCTTTGTATATAGATGACTCACCTGGAGGATAACACATGCAGTCCATAGGAAGTAGTTAAGTTTTACACAGCCATAATGGGAAAAGCTCCTACATTTATAGTCATCTAGTGATACTTAGGAAGATGGTGAATTGGAACACAAAGCTCCAGGGTAATGAAAGTCCAGTTTTCATTTTGTATTTTGTAGTCCTGGGAAATCAAACCCAGGGCCTCATGTACGTAAAGCAAACACTCTGCCATTGAGCTCCATGCCTGTCCATACAAGACTAGATAAATGGTCCTGGCAATCTAAATATATGCCAAAAGTTGTCTAACTATATATCATTATCATTTTCTTTCTGTCTTGAACTGGTGATGCCTGATTTTCTAACTTATTCTAGAAATCCAAAGTTAAAAATAAAATAATCCATGTCTAGTGATATACATGCCATCAGCATTTGATAGATTTCTCCACCATTCCTAGTTTATCAAATTTTGATTCTCTTTTTTCTGAAAGGTTCTTCTTTCTGTTGAGTTGTTCACAGAATCTTCAACCCACACATAGATTCTCAAAAATTATTTCAAAGTGTTTTTTTTTCTCATTAAAAATACTTGACATGCATAGTTAAGTGGTTAGATTAGCCCATAAACACTATTTAATTTTTAGTACACTGAGAGAATTGTATGTATACTAATACCAAGATACTACCTATCTACCAAGTGCAGACATTTTTACCATGGGAAAATGTGTAGAGGTTCCACATAGAGCATTATAAATGCTCCATAACTTCTTGCAATTGGACTGACCATCTCCAGTTTTCCTTGCATACCCAAATTCGTTCATTCAGAATGGGAAAGTACCAGTTCCGTGTCACACTCAAATGATGTCATTCTCATTTGGAAGCCAATTCCTTTCAAAAGCAAAAGAAGGAAGTCAAAATTAGTAGTCATTATATAAAAATTATCGATTTAGAGACTTCCTGTACTTCAGCTGTGTTCATTTTGTTATACATTACATACTTTCATTCTAATAAAAACCTTTTCAATATGTAATTTAAAACAACATTCTTGTAAAAACGTAGATTGTAGGAGGAATATAATTTTTGATGGTCAACAAAACATGGAAAGTGGCAGTTGTTTATTTTCACTTCAAGTAAAGTGCTGAGTGAGTAGCATTGATTCCAATTTCCTACTTTGTTTGTTTGCTTGTTTTTGATTCTGGGAATGAAACTTATAACCTGGCCCTTGCCAGGCAGGAGCTGGGATGCTGAGCTGTATCCCTAACCCTTCTGGTTTTCTGTTTTAACAATGATTTTAGTTCAGTACCCAAATCAGAAAGGTGACACTGTAGGAAGTTATTTGTATCTACAAAGTTGCCAGCTACGCTAAGGAGCTTTTTATAAACTGAGTTTTACAGGGTAAGCTAAGGAAGCTGGTAACTTTACCTTGTTTCCAAAATGGGGCATCAAAATGTTCTGGATAACTGGACTTTCATTACCCTGGAGCTTTGTATTCCAATTCACCATCTTCCTAAGTATCACTAGATGACTATAAATGTAGGAGCTTTTCCCATTATGGTTGTGTAAAACTTAACTACTTCCTATGAACTGCATGTGTTATCCTCCAGGTGAATCATCTATATACAAAGAAAAGTTTCAATGATTAACTTATTTTTTGGCAGGGGTACCAGGGATCAAACTCATGACCTTGCACTTGCCAGGCAGGCACTTATGCCACTGAGCTAAATCCCTGGCTCAATTTCTTTGATAAAAATTTTTAAATGAATTAGAGTGAAATGTTGGATGACATCTAATGTTATTTCCTTCAGTTGCAAGACAGAACTAGACACCTCCAAAGATATTAACATATTTTTATTATGTTAATATAAATATATTATTTTGATTATTCATGCATCAGAATTACAAATACTGGCAATGATACTGTATTTGGTCCATGAAAGATTAAACAACGATCTTTTCTTTAAATGCTTATGTGGTGGGAGCAGACATATAAGTATGGAATTTTGCATGATAAATATGATGTGCTACAAGAGAAGCTGACTCAATTTGGGGACATCAGGGTTTTAGAAAATAGCCCAAACCAAGTGTAACACAATCAATTTTATATAACTGTGAACTATTTACTTACATGGTTTTCTTTCTCTGTCAGATTTACTCTGTAGTTGACTGACATCATTGACTATGAATCACTCTTCTTCCAGTTGGAGTTGGGACAAAGAACTAGATACTTTTTAGCCTACAGAAAACAAGTAGTGCATCCCACTACCTTGATGAAGGTCAGGCACTTACTTTCTTCTGAAATGAGTCAAGCATTTTGTGCAAAGAGTAATCTTTGGACCTGTGCTTGCTTATTAAACAGTCTCCATAGTGCTCTAATAATTGAAAGAAAGTTAGTGTCTTCATGAGAATTTGTCTAGACTGGCACATGGTAACAGAAAGAAAACTTGCAGGGTCTAAGTGATGTGTGTTTGGTACAGTGAAAAGCAATTTAGGAGTCAATTTATTAAAAAGACACTCTAGTCTTTCAAGATTATTTATGCAGATAGAGTAGAAAATGCAATTCTACACAGATCCTAGTAAATCATATGAGGCAGATTTCATCAGCTTTTACTTATTTATTTTAAACTTTTTAATTCTCTGCCATTTACAGTGTGCCCAAGTAAAGAGTATTTTGATTAGCATTTTATATCTTTCATCAAAATACGAAGAAAATATTTTATACTTATGCATGCATAAATGTTAAAGAAACTCATAGTAGTGGTTTTTAAATAATAATCTAGCAAAGAGCACTACGCTACTACTAAACTAATCTATGAGTGATGCAGCTGAGTTGCCTTGCTAAGGCACTAAAGAGTAAATAGCTCTCATAGAACTTTACAAAATTTTAAAAGCACTTAAAACCATAAAAATACTTAACTGTTTGTATCCTGATAGGAATTTTGTGAGGAATTGATGCTAATTTTTAAATTCCATAATTTTCTTAGCATTAGAAACCTTGCATAGGAAGGTATATAACACTTTGATAACTTTCTGAGGTCAATTTATGGTGATATTTTATCTATCAAGGCTTGGGAAAATGCAGTTAGGAACATCAGTGTGATCACCTTGTTCTCAAAGAAGAATAAGAAATGCAATTATTTCCATGTCTTTTGATTGTAGAATTGTTTTGAAAATATTGAGGGAGAGGATTAAAATGGGTTATCTAAGTCTTTCAAATAAATATAGTAAAATATATAAATTCATATACATGCACTAACAACAAATGCTTACAATTTATATCTAGGGCTTGGTAAACTGAAAATAATAAAACCAGCATAACAATATGGTGAAACTGGGGATTTAGTTCAGTGGCACAAGCGCTTGCCTGGCAAGAGCGAGGTTCAATTCCTGATACCAAAAAAGAAAAAAAAAAATATGTTGAATATTAAAGCATCTATTCTTTGCATATTTTCTATAAGTATTCTCCCAAATTTTAATTATGTAAGAAAAGTCTTATTACAATTTAGCACACAAACAATGACAAGACATGAGAAGTAGTAGGAAAAATATATGTACTAGCTTTG